TAAGGCGCTAACGGACTTTTTCCAGACCCTAAAATCATCAGAGTAAAATTTACTCAGTTCAGAGAATATTTGGTCCCTCTCTAAATTGAGCAAAATTTACTCAGCAGCAGAGTTAAAGTTAACAAGACAATGATGGGTTTAATTAAGTGATGATTGAGCACTGATGATGAACACCTGCTGTTAATAAGCAGAGAAGAGAAACACAAAACTACATCTACCTTCAGTCACAACCGTACATAAAATAAATGAAATAAAACACATTAAATCTTTTAAAATCTCAGCAGAGCATCATTAAGCAGCTCCACAAACAGCAGCTTTACTTATTAACAACCTGTTTGGCCTTACTTCGGCCACACTCTACAAAATTACATATAGTGATAATATTAAGAATTAATGAAGTAATTTTTTACAACAACGATAAAAAAAAAAAAAAACTTGCGTTTAGGCTGTCACCATTGAGGAGAACAGTAGTTACTTTACTTGGACTCTTGACTCGATTTCTAATGTTAGTTTCTCTTTGCTTACCATATTGTGTTTAATGGTAAACATTTGATAAAGAGAGCAATTATGCTCTGGATAATTGACTCTGTGGTGGTTTAGTCACTGGTCAAATCAATAAAATTGGTTTTTCTCTATTAGAATTAAATAACGTTGTATCACAAGAGAAGCACTGTATTGAGAAAACTGAACTCACTAATACTTTTTTTCAGATCATAAAACACATTGAACATCTGAAACACTTAAAACACACAGACATAAAGAATCAGAGTATGCTTCTCAACTATGGTGAGTTTTTTTTTCCTACAGTGCATGCTGGAAACTATGGATGAATGTTGTATGATTCTCTTACCATGCACTGCAGCCAAAAATTAATAAAACTCTAACCACAGTTGAGATAGATACGCTGATTATTGATGTCTGTGTCTCTAAATTGATTCAGATGCTCAATGTGTTTCAATAAATATAAAACCACAGCTGAGGTCCATTCTCCTGATAAACACTGAATTTTGTTTCTTATGTGATAAACCATCATTTAAACATAACTTGCAAAGTCAAACATAATCTCTCATACAGTTACTCTTGTTAAGAGTAAAATGCAATACAGGATCAGTCAACTTGATCACATTTGCTCTCATTATACTTGTACTAACAAGCAAAGAAAACTTAACATTAGAAATTGAGTCAAAGTAAACCAACTACTTTTCTCCACAATGGTGACATCAGGGGGGAAAAAAACTTTTTTTTTTTTTTTTTTGTAAAATGTAAAGAACTAAAACCGTTAATTCTCAATAAATCTCATGGACTTTTGTGAACATCTGACAGAAATAAAGTCAATCAGGTACGCAATGAGCAAACAGCAGGTGTTCATCATCAGTGCTCAATCATCACTTAATTAACCCCATCATTGTCTTATTAACTTTAACTGCTGCTGAGTAAATTTTGCTCAATTTAGAGAGGGACCAAATATTCTCTGAACTGATTCTTGAGCACGATGAACATTGAAGACTTGTTTTACACGTCTGCTTTTGAATTTTACACATTTTATACAGAACGCCCTCCTCATGTCATACTGTAAACGTTATTATATGACTAAAGGAGGACCATGTGAAAACGTTCTGTTAATGTTAAAAAAGGTACTCTTTGTAACGTTATAATGTGACCATAGAATGACCAAAACAGAACGTTCTTCTAAAGTCATACTGGGAACGTTATTTTATGACTAAAAGAGAACATTTTAAGAACATCCATAATGTTCTGTAAAGGTTCTGGACTTTCATTACCTTTAGGGAGCTTTCAGGGGACGTTGCAAGGTCGCGAGAACGTCACCTCCTACCTGGGAGGTACTCAAAATAACAAACTATTATACTCTATATCAATTGCCTTCCTAAAGTTACTTCTCTACTTTAGTATATCCCTGTAATTATTTCTTTACAATATTTAAAACAGTTTGATAATTTAGTCAATTAATTTCTCTGGAACAATAAGCACATTAGGTTGCATAGGAGTACATTGCAACAGCCAGTTAATAAAAGGGTTGGGGCTTCCTGAGCATTTATTATATTATTACGCCTTCAGTCTGAGACATCTCGCGCACTGATAACGTTGTACTTTTTTCTTCACAGGACATGGACTTTCAGCATGCAGTGGGACGGTTTGCTGCTGAGTGTGACATGGCAGGGAAAGAAACAGCACCTCTAATGGGCCATTTTCACTGTGTGGTACGGTTCGGTCTGGTACGCTTTTATGGCTGTTTCCACCGTCAAAAGGCCACTTTTTCAGCACCCTTTCAAAAGGGTACCAAACCCGAGAAAGGGTACCAAAAGGCGGAACTAGACATGCAACTGGTTTACAGAGTTATGCCATTCGCTTACGCAACAAGCCAAAAAAAAAAAAAAAAAAAAGCCGCCATCTTTATAATACACATTTGAGAGATTACAGAATTATATATAAATATAATAATGAGCCATGGTCGCCACGGGCTCAAACAAACCTTGTTGTCGTCTTGATGAACAGCCATAATGCCAAAAAAAAGAGTAGATTTACCCTGTGCCTCTTCAGTCAGTCTGAAGCACGAGCAGTTTCGCTTTCTTCCTTGCGCTCACCGTTCGTCTAAATCTGAAATAACAAACTTTTCGAGCTGATGATAATAACATGCGCTTGATTATTGACATGCTTTTGAAACTCGATCCTGTCATGATACTGACAAACGCAAAAGTGAAGTGCGGGAAAAAAACATGGGAGAAGCTGAAAAAAGGAGCACATTATTTTTTCAGCAAACGTGAACAAACCGACATATTTAACTTTTATTATTATCACCATTTGGACTAATATGAACTCAGAATGATGGAATGACTCTAACAGAGGCTACATGTGCTGCTGAAGATTACAGACACAGATGAGAGGTTTTCACTGACTGTAGGCTATATTTTGTGTTGTTTTTGAACATAAATAAGCACTAAATGTATGCTGTGTAGTTCTTTTGTAGTTGGAAACAAATCGGAGAATGTAAGGGTCTGTATGTCTTCATATATGTTCATTTATTTATTTAATATAATTACAGACGCTACAGTAGGCTATTTCGCACTGTCATTGATCTGCAGTTATAATCTAATCCGGTTAATAGAAAAGTTAGTAAAAAACATTTATACAGAAGTATTTGTGTATAAAGCCTCTGTGTCGTGAGAAGTGCTTTTCATATGATATGTGAGCGACCTATACAGCTTTATTGTAGACATTTTCTCGAGCGAAAATTACATCGACTGACACTTTCTGTTATACGCCACACCCACCAAAAGGGTACCCTTGGTAGTGGAAACGCAAGCCTGATGAAGGTGGCCCATATGGACCTGAACCGTACTGTACCAGTCAGTGGAAACGAGCCATAAGTCAGAAATCCTTACCCCAAATGGAGTTCAAGTATCTGCGTTTTTTTTTTTTTCATGAGGAATGGAATGTGAGATTAAAAGATGGATCAGTGCAGTGGCAGCAGTAATGCAGTTGATGTGATTGTCTGTTGTGGTGAAGGGAGCTGAGAGGAAGTGCAATGTTCTCAATTTACCAAAACTGTGTAGACACTGATCAGATCAGATTGCCCTATCTGGGCAAGCGAGACAGGTTCCGAAACAAAAGTGTAAGTGTGAACACCCTTACACTCAAGCACATATACTCTTTTACACCACTGTGGAATCTCATGTGTTCATTAGGGTTTGCTGATCGGTTGAAACTCTTCCCAAACTGAGTGCATGTGAATGGTTTCTCTCCAGTGTGGGTCTTCATGTGTTTATTAAGGTCTGAGGAGTTGCTGAAACTCATCCCACACTGAAGCTGCTGTAAGAGGCTAAATTATCATATGCATTTGTTTATATGACAAAACATGTCTTTTCGACTCAAGAAGGTCCATACTGACTACAAAGGCAGATACTGATAAGATCAGGGCCTGTTGTGTGGACTTTGGGGGTTTTACATTTACATTTAGTCATTAAGCAGACGCTTTTATCCAAAAAAAGCGTTTGAGCAAGGGTTTTATGGTGTGGTCACATGTTGATTGGTCAGTTTGAATGTCTTGAATGACTTTAGTCACATGGTCAAGAAAGATAGAAAATAGGTGGTAAACTCGAGCTCTGTCTCTTTTCCTGCACTCTCTTTTCCTGGCCTGCTTCTCTCCTGCTCTGCTCCTCTCCTCCTCTGGAGTCTATCTTCTCTGACTCTACTGCAATCAGACTTTTGGGCCTGCTCTCTTTGTCTCTCTGTCCCTCCCCCTGTGTCTCTCCATCTACCTCTGATAACTTTAATTTTACATTTAAGCTGGGTACAATTTATACCATATGTTTTATTATTTCATATTTTATCAATTTATACAGTATTTTGTTATTAATTCAGTTGTAACCATAGAGAATTATTGTCATTAAATCATCTCATTTTCAAGTATTTGTGAATTACTTTTGATTTAACATCAACACTTAATTGTTCCATATAGCAATACAATACAATCACATAATATCAACGCTCTCCCACATTTATAGCTATTAATACTGCCCTTATTTCTGTTTTTGGTATGAGATTGCAGAAGAATGGTTTGACTAGAAATGTACAGTTTTTTACCATCATGCTGATCACTTTTTAGTAGCTCGGCAGAACTACAGTTCAAACCGCTGTGGTTAAAGACCGTTCTTACACTGCGGTCACACTAGAGTTTGAGCATGCAAAATTCTGTTGTACGGTGCTGCGAAAAAGGGCAGGATTAAACAAGATGATTAGACATAAAAAAGTGAGCGATTGGTCCATATTTTACATTTCTGTCCAGAGAGGTCATGTTTTGATCTTTGCTTGGTCTTACACAGTCAAGTGATGCGATCAGAGCAGGTCAGAGTTCACCAAGCTTAAACTTTGCAACACAGTGAACTGTAAAACTTGATCCATGAACTTGCAATTCCGGTCTGACGCATTCGCGTGCGTATGAATAGAAGTCTATGGGGAGAAAAGTCCAGTGTGACCGCGGCTCAAGTGCAAGTAAATGGTTTCTCTCAAGTGTGGATCATAATGTGTAAATTAAGGGATGATGATAGACGGAAACTCTTCCCACACTGAGTGCATGTGTTTTCAGTGTGGATCCTCATGTGTTTATGAAGGTGCGATGAACTGTTAAAACTCTTCCCACACTGAGCGCACGTGAATGGTTTCTCTCCAGTGTGGATCCTAATGTGGTGTTTAAGGGATGATGAGTGACTGAAACTCCTCCCACACTGAGTGCATGTGAATGGTTTATCTTTCGTGTGGATCCTCATATGTTGATTAAGGTATGATGACTTACTGAAACTTTTCCCACACTGAGCGCAAGTGAATGGTTTCTCTCCTGTGTGGATCCGCATATGTTGATTAAGGGATGATGAGCGGCGGAAACTCTTCCCACACTGAGTGCATGTAAATGGTTTCTCTCCAGTGTGGATCCTCATGTGTTGATCAAGTTGTGATGAGCGGCGGAAACTCTTCCCACACTGAGTGCATGTAAATGGTTTCTCTCCAGTGTGGATCCTCATGTGTTGATCAAGTTGTGATGAGCGGCGGAAACTCTTCCCACATTGAGTGCATGTGAATGGTTTCTCTCCAGTGTGGATCCTCATGTGACTCTTAAGATTGTTTTTTCTTCCAAAACTCTTCCCACACTGAGTGCAGGTGAAACGATTCTTGTCTCTCCTTTTCAAAATACCATCAGTCTGTAAAAAAGTTTTTTCCTCAATTTTGACATGATGTTCCCCCTCTTTACTCCCCTCATTCTCTTCAATTAGGTCTGAAATAAATAAATAAAACATTAGTTTTCATTAAAGGTGCAGTAGGTGATCTGCCAAAATGCTAATCGGTTAGCATATTAGCTTTGGACGGCAGCGGAGGGACTTTGTTTCAAAGTCAAGCCTCGTGAAATTGCGAACGTGCCCACTGCGACACGACAGCAGACAACCCACTAGCTCATGTCATTCGCCAGTTAGAAGTGTACATAGTGGTTGGCCCGGTGGCGTGCAGGAATTTATTACTTATTACTAAGCCACACTTATTACTAAGCCACAATTACAAGCCATTTCAGAGCGAATATTCAGACTAGCACGGTAAATAGTATAGGGAGCGCGTCACAGGCTGTCATTGTTCAAAAATGACCTAATGTGTATATAAAAGTAGATCCAGACTGAATAGTGCTATTTACTGATGTTTTTTTTTTGTTGTTGTTAAACTAAATACATTATCAATGCTGTAAAAGGACCTTATCAAACTGAAAATAGTTAAATCAATCTTTCACCGAGAGATTTCAGTGGCTGAACAACAGGTCTGTGCATAAAACCCATTAACAACACACTCTACATCAGCTCTGCATCAAGCTAAAATAGTTTTAAAACAGAACATTAACCTTCTAACGGAATTACTTCAGTAATAATGTCGTTCTTCCTCCAGCGTGCAGAAGTAACTCCAATATTGATTCAGGAGTTTAAAAAGTTTCAATTCAGCATTTGATTTCGGCAAGAATGTAACTGTCTTGCGTGCACGCGCGGCGGTAGGGCTGGACGATTTGGCAAAAAAAGAAAAATCTAGGTTTTTTATAAAGTTTGACCGATTCACGATTTCGATTTAAATTTTTTTTAATTGTGTAACTAGTCAACTTAAAACATAACAACATGACTGAAGTAACACTCTCTTTATAAGTAACTTGAAAAACCATTTGGTTTAGGAACATTGTATTTTTTGCAAGTTTTGCTGAGCCTGGGAAAGATTGGCTGTCAGCTCGGTTTTGACTTTGTCTTCTTCTGATTGAATGACAGATTGCAATGCTGATGCCTTTTTCTTAAAAAGATACAGTGGAAGTAAAGGAACAAGGAAACTGTAAAGCCTAATTTACCCTAATGTGTGAAGTTGTGGACGTATAGCAGGAGCAAATAAAAGTACCAGATGTGTGTCTAATATAAAATAATATATTTAATCTATTTTTCTTTTCCCCCCCTTTTAAATATCGATCATTTGATGCACTTTGCACCACTCTCTGTATTATGCGGCCTGATCTGTCTGGTTTTCAACTAGGTCCGCTAAATGACATCATGGGAGTGGGTACTTTCATTTTCACTGCTACAGCTGTCAGCTGCTCATCTCTGCTCGTGTTCAAACCAAAAGATCTAAGACCGGCGTGGTTTTTCACATGGCAGGATTTTACGTCCTTCATACATGTTGAGATCGAGTTTATCGACTTAATGAGGGAATATGTCTTGACAATCTACACAGACGTGACTTAGTAAAGTGTGAAGTCACGTAGGATTTTACTGCCCACAACTGCATGCATTGGGTTAAGTTAGGCTGTCCAGTCTCTGTGTTCAGTCCGTAACTACCATGATTGAAACCCAGACTGGCAGTCAAGCAGGTTGCACACCAGCACATGACAATTTAAAGTATCACACACAGATGCGCACATATTTAACATGAAACTAATCAGATGGCACTCTGTGGTGCGGCTGTAATATGAACTGCATCCTGAGTCATGGCTAGGCGCAGCCGGTGTGTGTAAAGAAACTTATGTTCAGAATTCTAAAATGCATGGTGCTGCGTGGTGCTTCACGGCGCTTCTGGTGTGCCACCTGCTTCATACAGAGAGTGAACCAAAGAGAATTAATGCCATTATAATGTATCAAATATTTTTATATATAAATAATAATAATAATAAAAACACAATTTTTTCAATTATTCGAATTAATCAAAAAAATCACCCAGCCCTAGCTGGCGGGCACGCATTAATGGCGGATATGCATAAACAGATGCTCAAAAGACCAAATCTGCATTTGCTGATAGACAGATTGAGCTACTTATTTTATTGAGCTACATATTTACTTATGTTACGAGACGTCAGCCCGACAATATTTAATTGGATGAACATTTTTTATTTTTCACATTTAAATAATTTACTGTAATAATTACTATTGGACTGTGAGGAGATTTTCAGCCAGCACAACAAAAAATACTGCTGAAGACAATGACCTACTGCACCTTCATTAATTTTCTTGTCTGCTTAGTCCCTTTATTAATCCGGGGTCGCCACAGCGGAATGAATTGCCAACTTATCCAGCACCTTTTTATGCAGCGGATGCTCTTCCAGCCGCAACCCATTTCTGGGAAACATCCACACACACACATACACACACACACACACACACACACACACACTCATACACTATAGACAATTTAGCCTACCCACTTCACCTGTACCGCCTGTCTTTGGACTGTGGGGGAAACCGGAGCAACCTCAGCCGAGGTTCGACCCAGCGACCTTCTTGCTGTGAGGCGACAGCACTACCTACTTGCACCTTTAAGTCTTAAAAACTCCCTTTAAAAGCTTTAAAGTGAAAAAACACTGGAAACGTTGGCTTCAAACACTGTATTTTTGATGCACATTAAATGTAAAATAAATCAGATCATGGTGTGTTTGGTCCACATTTAAGCAGATTCAATTAAATTCATCTTTATTTATCTACTGCTTTTACAATGTAAATTGTGTCAAAGCCACATAACATAGAAATACTAGTAAATTGAAACTGTCAGTCCATTTTTCAGCGTTTCTTACATAATTGATCATAAAAGTTATTTTGGTCACATTGATAAGACACCGATTTGAAAGCTGTAAATGGCCTATTTTTATTTGTATATATTTATAATTACTAGGGATGCACTGATATGGATTTTTTGGCCGATACCGATAACCGATAACTCTTTAGACTTAAAGGCCGATATATATATATATATATATATATATATATATATATATATATATATATATATATATATATATATATATATATATATATATATATATATATATATATTAGGGATGGGAAGATTAACCGATATGTATCGATACGCGGTCATGCGCGTGCACGATGCAAGTGCATCGGTTGAGCAGCAGAGGATGAATGAAATTTTGGAAGCAAATCGAGATGCATCGGTTTTTGCGAGATGCATCGATTTTTCCGAGATACAGCTTATATTTTTAATATAGAATGTATTTTTTATTTATTAACAAGTGTTGTCAACCTGTTTTTGGCGCATAATTTAATCGACCTACATAAAGTAAGCCTCAGCAACGGATTTGCGGATGTGCACACACTACAACTCAGTGTATCAGGTGTGCGGATGAAGCTAGTGGTGCGCCCTCAGAAAGCGCGAGAAGCAAAACAAACATTTTATTCCCCACTGAGTTTTAAATCTAAAGTATGGCAACATTATGGATTTAAGGATGGACGACATGACAGGACAGATGCAATTTGCAAAATGTGCCGCGCATCTGTAAAATACGCGGGCAGTATGACTAATCTGATATCTCACTTGAAGCGGCGCCACGGTGTTGTTGTGAAAGCATCTTCCAGTGTTTCTGCATCCCCGGCTTTCGCACTGCTTCAACCAGCTCCAAAAGTGGTGAGAAAAGCATTGAAAGTTTTTTTTCCATGCGCAACAGTTCTGCTCGCTCTACGCCAATAACGAATGCTATTGCATTGTTCATCTGCAAAGATATTCAGCCTAGTGTCACGGAGAACGAAGGTTTTAAACACCGCTTCCTGTTAATTTTTATTTAATAATAATAATAATATTATTAATAATAATGATAAAAATAATTGGGTGTCACGGTGGCACAGTGGGTAGTTTGACCACCTCACAGCAAGAAGATTGCTGGTTTGTTATATTTTTATTAGCCTGTTGTTTACAGTGACAGTGATGTTTCAAAGCAGCATAACACTGCTAGTTCACGACCTTAAGTTTTGAATAATCAGTGGCAAAATATATCTTTGTAAAACTTGTTTTCATAGTTGAAAAGTTAAATCACAATTGTTGTTGTGCAATGGTAAACCTTTATGTTGAAAGAGTGCAAATATATGCATTTATAATATATATTGCACTTATACATTCTGTTTATCTTGAAAATACTTAAATAATATGTGCTATAGGTTCTAAAATGTCCCTCTACTGTAAACTGACACTCTGGCTCTGAGAGAAGAGCCAGTTTGTAAAAAAGTCTTGGTTTTGCTTGGTTTATAAATAATCAAACTCATTCAATGGCACAGCATCCTCTTTCACATCATCTCATAAACTTGATCTAATTAGTTAGTGCTGAAATATCGCATCGTATCGTGATATTGGTGTGAATCGTATCGTGTTGCATCGCAATATGTCACAAATGTATCGCTAATATATCGGATCGTATTCTTTGTATCGAGATGTGTATCGGATCGGCATTATAGCTTAGATGCCCAACCCTAATATATATATATATATATATATATATATATATATATATATATAGGCAGATAATTATTAATATTTCAAAATGTTATATTTTTATACAGCAAACTTCATAAAGGATTTAACTGCTCTTATGAATTAAAAAGTCTATACTCAAAGCAAAAAATCTATAATTTCAAAATTGCAAGGTGATTATATAGATCTATATTCTCAATTTCATTTAAGTTAGCCTACAAAAAAAATAAAAAAATTCCTTTTCTTCATAGCAAATTAACATGCAACTTGACTGTTGCATAAAAATAGGTTAAATAACAAAATGGGATTTAATTAACAAGAAAGTTAAATATACAAGTCCTTTTCAAAAAATGTGCATATTGTGATAAAGTTATTTATTTTCTGTAATGTACTGATAAACATTAGACTTTTATATATTTTAGATTCATTAAACACAACTGAAGTTGTTCTTGGCCTTTTATTGTTTTAATATTGATGATTTTGACATACAGCTCATGAAAACCCAAAATTCCTATCTCAAAAGATTAGCATATCATGAAAAGGTTCTCTAAAAGAGCTATTAACCTAATCATCTGAATCAACTAATTAACTCTAAACACCTGCAAAACATTCCTGAGGCTTTTTAAACTCCCAGCCTGGTTCATTACTCAAGACCGCTATCATAGGTAAGACTGCCGACCTGACTGCTGTCCAGAAGGCCATTACTGACACCCTCAAGCAAGAGGGTAAGACACAGAAAGAAATTTTTGAAGAAAAGGCTATTCCCAGAGTGCTGTATCAAGGCACCTCAGTGGGAAGTCTGTGGGAAGGAAAAATTGTGGCAGAAATCGCTGCACAACGAGAAGAGGTGACCGGACCCTGAGGAAGATTGTGAAGAAGGCCACTGTGTACAGCCGTGTGCAGGAAATAGGCTACAGGTGCTGCATTCACCAGGTCAAGCCACTCTTGAAACAGTGGCAGAAGCGCGTGACCTGGGCTACAGAGAAGCAGCACTGGACTGAAAGCAAATTTTGCATGTCATTTGGAAATTAAGGTGCCAGAGTCCGGAGGAAGACCGAGGGAAATGCCAAAATGGCTAACGTGGATTTTATTGAAAGTATAGTTTAATGTGCTTCCTGAATCCTGAAAAACAGCGTTGATTTGTTTGGAGCAGTGTCTGAGTGCACTAGATCCTTTCAGAGGTGGAAATCTGGTTAAACACAATAGCCCTGGTAATTAGTTATTATATAATAATATATAATGATGTAATACTAACTCATAATTTAAACCAAAGTTTATATCAAAGTTTAAACCAAAGTTTCTACAGGTGTTACCAAGTTAAATTTAAGACTTTTTAAAACATTTTTAAGAACATTATGAATGAAATTTTAGACTAATGAATTTTTCAAATGGCCCAGATGAAAAAGATTTTATTTGTCCTATCAAAAAATATTAGAATATAAAATATTCAATAATACAGTAATAAATCAATAATAATAATAATAATAACATAAAAATATTTGAAAATATTGATATTATAAAAATATTTGAAGTCGATGTCCTTTAAGTTTTTTTAAGGCCTAAATTTTAGATTTTAGAATTTAAGACATTTAACACCCAGCGGAAACCCTGTTTAAAAACAATAGCCCTGGTAATTAGTTATTATAATAATGTAGTTCTAACTCAGACACTATCAGTGAGAAAACAACTACAAAAAAAGTTTAAACCCATAAAGAAGTTAAAATATGCAAAAGGAAAGTACTAAGCCAACACTATCACTGTTATAGCAGATATCTTCTATAAGAATACTGTAGGTCAAATATCGTCAGCTCAGTTAAACCTTTTTAAATTTATTGTTTTTATTTAAGGTAACGCAATGGTGCAGCAGGTAGTGCTGTCGCCTCACAGCAAGAAGGTCGATGGTTCGAGCCTCGGCTGGGTCAATTGGCATTTCTGTGTGGAGTTTGCATTCGCGTGGGTTTCCCCCACAGTCCAAAGACATGTGGTACAGGTGAATTGGGTAGGCTAAATTGTCCGTAGTGTATGAGTGTGCATGAATGTTTCCCAGTGATGGGTTGTGGCTGGAAGGGCATCTGCTGCGTAAAACGTGCTGGATAAGTTTGCAGTCCATTCTGCTGTGGCGACCCCGGATTAATAAAGGAACTAAGCCGAAAAGAAAATAAATGAATGTTTTTACTTTTTTTTATATAGCGCCAGTGCTCAAGGACACAACAAACAGTAGGAGAACAAGAAAAGCAATAACGTAAAGAATGTAGAGAAAAATGGGAGACTAATAATACATAAAATAATGACAAAAGACATGAGAACAAGCAACAAGAAAGAAACTCATTTCTGTCTTTCAATGCTTATGTGCTTATGTGCATTTAGGATAATTAGGTAGCACACTCAGGGCTGCAAGATGGATTTAACTTAGTATTCTTATTATTAAAATATATCTGAATGAGGATCAAACGACTGGGCTGATCTTTGAGAATGAAAACCAACCTGTTTGTTCCTGCAGATCTTCCTGTTTGACTGTGAATGTTTCTTCAATCTTCACATCTTCACTCTCCTCTTTAATAAACGCCATCTTAACAATAGTGTGGAGATCAGTCGCTTCAGCAGGAGTTTTTTCTGTGTTTAGACACTTTATCCTGTTTAAAATAAATAAAACAATGAACAGAAACAAAATAACTTCTCTTCAACACTTGCTTCAACAGTTTCTTTATATAAAAGTAATTAACAAAAATAAATCAGGTAAGTCTGAGCAAGAAACAATAGCCACAAATGAGCTGATTAAAAGTAGTACACTATTTCTTATATATAGTGATGTATACTTAGAATGGAATGACATTAAGCTATTTAATAAATTAAATCTTTATTAAAACACTTATTACACATATCTCTGTAAACTTATTCAAACAATAGCTCTAATTACTGTGAGTAAAATAGTACTTCACTGTATAAAGGGTCAAAATATTAATGTCAAAAGCAGGCACATAATTTAGCATCGGATGAAAACCTGAAACTTTACTTAATCGCTTTATATTTATGTAAAGGTTATTAAACACAAACCTTTCTCTAGTTGAATCCAGTGCAAGAGAGGCGCAGCCTTATGATGTCATATGTCACGCCAAAATAAAAGTCTTTTCGTTTAGCTTTTTTGCCACTTACTGTTGCAGTCATGACTTATTGATATATTTCTCTCTCGTTTTCTACTTTTCACTTGCTCTCTTTCTCTCTCTCTCTCTCTCCCAGATAGCACACATGCGTCGCAGAGACGTCTGCTGGACATCCGCGTTTTCATCTGGGAGACGTCTTATTCAGGGCGTTTGCTCATCTGGAAAACGTCGCATAGACGTCCTTGTCATACATTCAAACAACGTCTATGCGATGCATTACAGATGTTCATTTTTAGAATGTTAGGTCTGTGAGACATCTTATTTATGTAGCATAGACGTCGTTTTTTTATTTGTTTATTTAGACATTCCTTCATTCATACTGCTATAAATAACAGTTACAGGTACTCTGATTATACATCCGTCTTCACATATATAATAAGCTCAAGTATATCCACTTAAAATGAAAAACTCAACGGCTGAAGAATTATTTGTAGAATTTTATTATATTATAATTGATTAGAATTCATATTTTTTGAAGCAAACAAAACCAAATAGCAGCAAATAAATAAATAAAAAATAGCAACTGGCTTAAGAGGCCATTCTTCCTGGGGCCAAGCGGAGAAAGTCTTTCAAATATTTTTCTGCTTCTGCCTCTGTTGGAGACGGAAGCACGGGGTTCCTCATAGCTGCACCTGTTAAAAAAGAATAAAAATAAAGAAATTAAAATAACGCGGTTTTAAGAAGGCTTAGGGGGTGTTTTATTTTATTGTGAGCCTTTTATTTTTATCTGACCAAAATTAATACACACCATGTTAATTATTGCATTTGACTACATAATAATAATAATAATAATAATAGAGTGGAAGAAATAATATGATTGTTTGAAATTCGTTTAGCTAAATGGCATATCGTCTATTTTAGATAATTATCGTTAACACCATTTTTTAAATCAGTTTAGCCTACCTTTATTTGTTTGCTGTTCATTTGTTGTTGAAATACGGCTTAGATTGGAAATATTTTTACTATTCGATCATGCACCGTCCTCATGTAATCAATATCATATTCTTTAGAATGTTACTCTCAAATAAATTAAGCTATAGCTTTGAAAAATTGATGTCAAATAGAAACGAGAGGTGCAAAAGCTTAAATCCGCCATAAAATAAATAAAGAAAAAATAACAACAACAAAAACAAGTGTACTTGCATTAGTATGCACTTGGACAACGTGGTCAAATTCAAGGAATCGACTCTTTTGTGTTCGAAACTTCATCACTATTGCGCATGTTTCCTCAAAGCATCACACTCAGCACGTAGAAGACACCAGTCCACGCGGGAATACTGAGGTAAGCAGTCTGATTCATTGTTATTGATATGTGTGGTCAGTAAAATATTTATTCCACTTTGTTTGTAGTAAATTTAGGTAATAACTTTATTTAGACGAATAAAGCTATGTTTAAACACGTTGTGATGACAACGGACCAAGCAGCAGTTCAAGGTGATTAGGGCTAACTTAAATTTCGGGAAAATTTGTTCTTTAAATTTATTAGATTAATATCATACGACAAATTGACTGCAAAATAATGAATACTGTAAAAGTGTACATATGCATTATACAGTAGTGCTGGGAGATTATTCGAAAATCGAAACCTAAATCCATAACCGACATATATCCCCACGTGGCGATTTAATGCATGTACCGTCCACATGTACTTCAGCAAAGCTCAAGCGAATGCAGGCAATGTGATTAATATTCAGAGGCATGACAGATTTTCTTTTTGGATTATTATATGACCTATAATTTGTGAAGCATAACTCACTTTTCTTTAGCGTATATTCATAATCAAATCGACTGAGGTTTTGTTTTTATTATTTCTAGTTATCACATACAACGTAGGTGCAGTAATCAGCACTATCGCCTCACAGCAAGAAGGTCGCTGGTTCGAGCCTCGGCTGGGTCAGTTGGCATTTCTGTGTGGAGTTTTCAATTTCTTCCCGTGTTCGTTTGGGTTTCCTACGGGTGCTCCGATTTCCAAAGTCCAAAGACGAGGTATGGGTGAATTGGGTAAGCTAAAAAAATGGTCCATTGTGTGTGTGTGTGTGTGTGTGTGTGTGTGTGTGTGTGTGTTTCCCAGTGATGGGTTGCAGCTGGAATGGCATCCGCTGCGTAAAACGAATGCTGGATAAGTTGGCGGTTCATTCTGCTGTGGCGACCCCGAAATAATAAAGGGACTGAGCCAAAAAGAAAATGAATGAATGAACGTACAATGTAAGCTGTCTTTTCGTAAAGAGAAGCATGCACACACACGCACTTAAAATATTATTGTGAACAGCAATGTTCACATTATGTACTTTTTCACATTGCTTTATTATTTACTATTTTCCAGACACAAGTTCCACTTTTGACTTGGAAATATTTTTTTAGGGAAACTTTCTTTTAACACTAAAACTGAAATGTTTAGTAAATGAATAAATGGAACTTGATTAAGTACAAAAAATTACTTGGAAAATAATATAATGATTCAATATTTCAAAAGGAGGTAAAGTGTTCAATCAATCAAGGTTTTGATTTAAGGTTTAATCTCCTTGCCCTAATATACAAGAATGAACAATTCTCCACTTAAAAAAATGATCTAAATTTTATTTCTGAAACACTCTTGTGTATTAAATATAATTTTACAATATATGAATAGCATATGCTAGCTCGTAAGCTTATAGCACACTGATAACCATATTATGTGTGTACAAGGTAATCATGCTATAGAGATATACTGGCAGTTCTGTCTTTAAAGGTATTATCTAAACCGTTCATTGCAAGACAATTGAACATACCTATCACAAGTGTCCCAATATTTGTGTTTTTTAGGCCTCTTTTATCTCCTCTTCCACACCAGTTGAGCTGTTTGGCCACTGGACCAAACACTTTGGAGGCTACACGCCAAATGGTTTTTTTCAGAGTTTGTCCTCCTCTGATGGATAACCTCTTCATCTTAAAAATAAAAGGTAATATTAAATCTTTACAGACAAAGTGCAAGGACTATGGCCCAGTTTTACAGACAAGGATGAGCTTAAGTCTGGACTATAAGTCTTAGTTAATGTTAGATATAAAACTTCTTTTATAAAAATGCATGTGAAAGAAAATATAAGCACGATACTAGCGTGCATCTGGTAAAAAATTATAGCAATGAGATATTGTAAGGCATCACACAGCTCACACATACATTTTTAGTTTGGGACTAGCTTTAAGTGTTGCCTGTGAAACTGGCCATATAATAAAGATTTACTTAACAACAGCTGTAAAACCTTTAAATCTTAAATATTCGTACCATCTTCTCCATCATTGGTTTTTCAGCTAATTGCCATTCCAGTTGTTCAAGGTCCTCCATTGTTTCAATAGGAAAGGTGTCATCCTCAGTGTCCACCACCATTTGACCACTTGACCGAGGGGCAAGGGACTAGACCACTGAAGTTAGATGGGTAATCTTCAAGTCCAGCTCATTAAGCTTCTCCAAAATTGCCCTCTCCACAGCTGCAACACAGTAAGTGGGTTAATCTCTATTCAACTATATGTAAATATTTTTAAATGATTATTATTATACACTGAAAAAAATTATTCAAAGATGATTCCTTGGATTAACACAATTTCTTTATGTTAAGAGGTGGTAAACAATTTATTTGGGCTGAATTTAAACAAACAAATTAAGTTGTACATTACTAAACTTAATTTGTTTGTTTAAATTCAACACAAACAAATTGTTTGCAACAGCTCTGCATGCAACACTTTTTTCAGTGTACATAGCACTTAAATTTCACTTACGTGTGCATTGACTGGAGATGCAGCTCCATCGGCTGATACCAGAAGCATCTGCAAGCAAAATCACTTTTGAACGATTCACAAAAATGTTATGAGGATATTATAATAATATGCTTGAAACCTTAAACAATAAAAAAAAACTATATTCGTCTGATTACACATTGTTTTTCTACGGCTAAAATGACTTAAACTATTCACAGAATTCAGAGAGCAAAATTGCAAAACTGAATTAAGAGGAAATAAAACTGAACTTTAAAAAGCAGACAGAAGCCAACCCCCTCTTGGTCTGTGCTTTTACGTAAAATATTTTTTATGTGAATTTTTCTGTGCATATAAAATCATTAGGTCCCCAAAGTTATTGAAAGCATAAATTAACAAAACGCTTTAAATTAATTTTCAAACTAGTAATTTATAGGTAATCATAAATTATATATTGTACTCTAATACATTAATATTCTGAATACAGTGAGTTTTTTTACTGTCACTATAATTAACGAAGTGTTTTTTATTGTTGTATAGTGTTGTATTTATTAGGTTACAAGGAAATAATTAGATAATGTTTTGCAAACAGCTTATTAACCATGAAAAATTTCACAGAAAATTGGAAAATGTCATTGATTAGTTGCTTTGAACAAGTTTCATATTCAGTGTTGATTAATATGTTTACAAATAAATTAAAAAGATGTACATTTACTTACGTTTGCACACCATTAAGTGGTTATAAACATTTGTTTTTTTTTTTGTTCTGCTAAACACAAGGAAGGTATTGTGAAGAAAGCTAAAAGCCAGTGATTATTGACTTCTATAGTAGGAAAATGCTATGGAAGTAAATGGTTACAGGTTTCCAACTTTCTTCAAAATATCTTCATTTGTGTTCGGCAAGAAGGAAGAAAGTTTGGGTAACACTTCGTAACAACTGCACACTGAATCATGCATTTAGCATTAGCAAATTGTTAATTTATTTGCAAGAAATTTAATTCATTTGTTAAGATTTAACTACATTAATAGATGTTGGTTAGCAGTATATAAATACAACTACAAATACTGTATACAAAAACATAATAATAATAATTCATAAGAAGTAACTGTCAATTAAAAAAACAAATTACTTACTCTTCGCTCTTGCCTGGGTACTTGAGGGTCTCAGCTCAGAAGTTGTGTCTTCTGCGTGATTGTACAGACAATGTAACATTACCATGTTAATAATTAGAAACTAATTTGCTGTGTATGTTTTATTGAATGTTCTTGCACCTCGATAGCTCGATGGGTGGTCCCCCCAAGCATCTTCTTGCTCATTTACATGGGACATGCTTATTGGAAAAACTGGTGCTGAGAAAGGTCAAGTTAGTAAGTTGCATTTGCTACTATGACACTACATAAAATGTATATAATTTATTTATTTTTTACACTTACTCTGCATTTTTCTTTGATCTGCTGATGGCTTTGGATCTTGGACAGAGTATGTGTTGTCTAAATAATAAAAAACAAACAAACAAAAGTATAAAAAGGTTGCAAAAAATACAATAAATGTGTTTAGGATTTCCTCTGTATACTTTATTATTGTTTTATTTAATCTTTGATGGTAGAAACATGTAGGTGATCAGGTCACCCATATAGAAATCTGATGCATGTAAATATACAGGGTGATTCAAAAAGAATACCACAACTTTTAAAATCAAGAACTCTGCAAAGAAAAGGGGGTGATATTGAACATCTATGAACTTGCTTACTACTAAAAAACTTTTAAGGACATCACACTGATTATTTACCCAAGGTTCCATCATGTTTCTTTGATTAAATACAGATTTTTAAAGTTGTGGTATTCTTTTTTTAATCACCCTGTATATAGAAAACAAATAATTGAATTAAAAGTTCATATTTAGACTTCACATACAATATTTGTCATTGACCACTTATATATTTGTTAAACAATTGGAATTACAAATATGTACAGATATGTCAATTTTATATTACTAATTAATATTTTTAGGTTTTAATAATTAAATTTAATTATATATATATATATATATATATATATATATATATTTTTTTTTTTTTGTAGAATGCTTTACAATATTATATTTGTGCATATACATTAGGTTTGTCAGTACTAAAGTAAAGTAGGAAATAATTTAGCTAAATAAATTTTTATTAAGGTTCAAAAATATATACAAAAAACTTCTAAAATACAGGAAAAATAAAGAGAAACTTAAAATAATATTACATTTATTATTATTATTATAAATTTGACTTGTATTTTAGTGCACATAACTGTTTAATAAACATCTTTTATTTAAATGAACAAAAATATTATCTCTGTTCACTGAAAAATAGATGACAATATTCCAATTCAAAAGGAGGTGTACTCATATGTGCTGAGCAGAGTGTGTGTGTCTGTGTCTGTGTGTCTGTGTGCGTGCTTGTGTGTGAACATATCTGTACATATAATTCCAATAGTTGAAAGACAATATTTGTAAGCAGCACAGCCATTTTTGCAATATTTTAAAATGTATATTGCATAAATAAAATATAATTTATTTGTAAAATCCAAATAGGAACTTGCATGGCATATATGTAGTTTGCATAAATTTAAATGCAACAGATTTCAATATAGGCAGGTATCGCATTGGTGATCTGCATATGAGAAGCTTTGTCTTTATTGAGCTTTCTTTACATTTGACAAAATGGTACTCTTTCTACTGTTGTAAATGATTTGCGTTCTCTTTTTTGTATTTTAGTCTTAGCTTTACAGTCTTGTTTAATCAAACATTTTCTTTTTTACAATACAGCTAAATTAAATGTTACCGTAATTACCCGAAGTGAGACATACAACTTACGTGGTGCTCTGTCTTGTAAAGGCCGCAGCACAGAAAATGCATCCTCTGTTGGATTGTACAGAAAATGTTGAGTTACCTAGTGTGAGTATGTGCAGCAATTTTCCTTCTGGGTTCTTATTTCAAATACCAATTAATCTGTTATTATTTATTTTGTTTTTTACCTTGATTTTCAGGTTGGGGTTTATCCCAAGTGTCTTGGTGCTCCACTTCCTGGCAGAACCTCACAGGTACGTCTGGAGCTGAAACTGCAATTATTTTCTTTGCAATTATGAAATGTTATTTGACTTTTTCAATTGTAATTCCTGGTTCAGAGAAGATTCAGTCTATTCAGAATAAGCAGATCATGAAACATACAATTTGTGCACAATTATTATGAAAGTCGATATCTGGTTATATTGACAGTGATAAGGGATTCATGGTTTTAACTGCTAGTAACAATGAAAATTTAAGGATAGGAGAAGGATTTAAACTCTGGATGAACTCTGATGACTTACTGCAAGATTCTGAAAGATAATATCTTTTAACAGTTACAAGAGGAAGTGGTCCTGTCCTTCTGGACCAGTTCTCAACCTATGCCTATGAAGTTCTCAGTGTATTTCAGTATTTCAACTTGTGGTTATTTTTGAGTGAATACATTTTGAGACATTGTATCCCATTGTGTCATTCTTTGACACAGAAGCTGAAACATTGTACTTGCCAGTGACTAAAGGGTTCCTGATGCTTTCAAACCTAACTCTTTCAATGATGAAGCGGACGAATCTTTCAATATAGGAAATTAATTTTGAAATGAACACTGAAAACTTCTGGAAGATAAATTCTTTAAACAGATACAAAGGGAGTGGTGCTTGTCCTTTCAACCTATGCCTATAAAAGTCTCAGGGCATTTTACAACATTTCTGCGTGTGATTCTTAAGTGGGTACAATCGATACATTGAGTCAAATTGTGTCATTCTTTGACACAGAATCTGACACATTGTACTTGTTTTGGCTCTGGCAAACTGGGTTTCCTAAACTATTCATCTTAATTACTGAAATCCTATTTTATAAAATTATTTTCTTCTCGGCCAGTTTATTGTGACCCCTTATGTTTAAATGTTAGTTTCCCCTATGAGCATTTCTTGTCCAGTGGACTCAATTTAAAAGTTAGCTTGTGTTAGACTTTCTCCTAGCCATATAATATACAGTTGAAGTCAGAATTATTAGCCTCCCTTTGAATTAGTTTTTCTTGTTTTTAAATATTTTCCAAATGATGTTTAACAGAGCAAGGAAATTTTCACAGTATGTCTGATAATATTTTTTCTCTAGAGAAAGTCTCATTTGTTTTATTTCAGCTAGAATAAAATCAGTTTTTAATTATTTAAACCCATTTTAAGGTTAAAAATTATTAGCCCCTTTAAGCTTTATTTTTTTCTGATAGTCTACAGAATAAACCATCATTATACAATAACTTGCCTAATTAACCTAACCTGCCTAGTTAACCTAATTAACATAGTCAAGCCTTTAAATGCCACTTTAAGCTGTATAGAAGTGTCTTGAAAAAATATCTAGTCAAATATTATTTACTGTCACCATGGTAAAAATAAAATAAATCAGTTATCAGAAATAAGTTATTAAAACTAATATGATTAGAAATATGTTTTAAAAATCTGCTCTCTGTAAACAGAAATTGGGGAAAAAATAAACTGGGGGGCTAATAATTCTGACTTCAACTGTATATATTATTTAAGTGACTTTTACTTAAACTATATATATATATATATATATATATATAGATTGATTTGGAAGAGGTACAATGTACTTCTATTAAAAATAGGATCAGAATATTACATTTATTTATATTTGTGCACAAACTGTAGGTGAGTGATGTCTATTCAGCAATAGGAATCATGAACCAGCCTGTCATTGAGTCAGCTTTTGAGTCATGAATGCTGTGAAGTAACAGCTTTTACAGTTTGTAGTTACAGTATTCATGTAAAGCCAGTTACCTTGACTAGTGGAGGGAGTTTCAAAACAGGCCTGCTGTTGCTTTTCTGTAGCTTTTTGGTGGTCACGGACAAATGCTGTTAAAACATTACAGATGAAACAGATGTTATATCTGTCTCACAAACAAAGATTACATTGTACTGCACATTTCTTTATAGCCTGACAGGGCTGTTGCTTCTAATTAGCAATTAAAAGTTATTTGTGGCTCTTAAAATGTAATACTCAATTTATGAATGTAATAACAGTAGTTTTTTTTTGCAAAATGTTAAAAGAGCAATATTACTGGATTTAGCTGAAAACATTATGGTAAAGCAACATGTCACAAGAGCTTGTGCATTACATTTAATTTACTGTGATTAAGGAACATTCTTGAGCATATCACAAAGTACTTAAAACATCAAATATCTGTTTTACTAATTAAAACTTACAATTGCAAAAACTGTTCATTGTTTTACATGATGTTAGCTGAGGTCCTACAAGAGGACCTGAAAAAAAAAAAACTTGTCAGTGATCATACATACACTTTTGTCTGGCAGTGATACAAGGGGTGTATTTTTACCTTTTGCCCTGATATGTTTTGGGGGTGTTGGAACTTTTGGTGCAGGTGGGACCCTTGGTGTTGGTAGACTTTTTTCTTTATTTAGTTTCTTTTTTTTGTGGGGAGTATCGCAAGGCTCATCATCTGATGTGTATATTTTCTTTCTATGAGCACAATCAGGGTAGTTAATTTTACAAAGCATGATTGGATTATAACAATGTCTTGTTTTTTAAATGTAAGAAGAAGAAGAAAACACAAACAAAATTAAAAATAAGTTCAATATAATTTTTCATCATTCTTAGGAAAGTTAGGAAATGGACAAAATATAATAATAAAAATAACAAAACCTTTTGCTTGTTTAAATCTGGCATAATTGTGTATTTGCATGTTGCAAAAAATACAAACAAACAGTTGATGATACATTTAAAACTAAACATACCTGATTTACCTAATAAGTGTGTTTGAGATGTTAAAACTGCGGCTGAATTTAATACTACAATTAAATAAATTTACCTTTGTTACTCACATGAACTTTGTTTAGCTTCAGAAGACTGAATATTGTTGTTATAAGTAAAATGTGTGTTTTTACAACTTACTTTGGAATTCTTTTAGCAGGCATTTCAGATTCCGAGATGTCAGATGTGTAGCATGCCTGTTTCCATTTCTTTGAAATCTTGTCAAAAGATGCTGAAAGAAATAAAGTATGTAACAATTCATGAATGCAGTAGTCTATGGAACGTCATATATTATTGAATTTATCCTTTGTTTAATATTGTTTATTTACAATGTACTTCTGTGTACCTGACTCGTGTAGAATTCTGGCCTGATGCTTGGTCCAACCTTTATCTGGTTGTGGTGCCTCCATCAACCGGACACTCCTCAATACCCTGTCTATCTTCTTGTATGGAGGCCACCACGAGTGACCCTCTGAGTACCAAGACTTGGCGACAGGTCCGGTACTCCCTTCGTGAATGAACTCCACTATCAGGTACATTTTTTTTAAGCTGCAAGAACCTAGAGCCCCATAATGTTAAATGACACATATTAAATTTCGGTTGTTTATGTGCATGATTCAAATACACAATACATTTCATGCAAAATAATGATGCAAGTTAATATTCAGATACATTTTTTCCCAAGCATATATTACCAATTCCAGACCACATCAATCTTAAGAACCACTACTACTTTTGTATTCATCATTCATTATTGATATATAATTTTCTGACAACACTCAAAGTAAAAATGCTTTAAATTCAGGTGTTTTACTGGTAAAAATATAACTTGGACTGAAAAGTTGCAAAATTATTAAATGACGGTGAGAAGAAGGCAATACTAGAAATTGCAAAATAAAGTAATGACAACTATTTTGGATCATTTGAATCGAGCTATTTTCACTTTCTGCCTTCATATAATATTACATATTGGTTATAGTTGTGATTAGGGCTTGACATTAATACTCGCCAAACCACCAAATGCAGGTAGATTTCAGCTGTGGCGGGTAAAGACTGCCATTCCCACTAGCCACTTTGGCTGGTTGAAAATAATTTTTTAATTGTAGTTTTCTTAAAAGCAGGGTTCAACAATAAGGATGGTCCAGTTTTTGGGACAGTAGACAGGATTGTCAGTGTCCTGACCAGGCCAATGCTGGCTTATCACTAAATATTATAATTTCAGTTTTTTACCGTTTATCAATATGCATGCAAATGTGATTTAAAAAAAATTATATTTATTTTTTTCAAAATTAGTGATATACACAGTAATGAGTGGAACAGCAAATGAGATTTCAGAATCGAGAAGCAGCATGATTGACAAAAACAACTGTGTTTATGCAAAACAAAAGATGAATACCAAATGAGAGCTTGATCATACACACTGTGAGACACAGGCTATTCTTACTCACTGAGAGATGTTTTTGAGAGCCGAGTGTTGAAAATACTTGTGCACTACCGTTTCCTTGCATGTAGCAATCCTGCTTGGAAATGAAACTGGTGTGATGGATTCTATTTGAAATAGACTGGACAAAAGTAATTGTCGTGCATCCACAGTCCTTCTGCTTTCAAGAGCTTTAGATTTAAAAACAGGTCTTTGTAAGCAGCAGTGATTGCCACTTTAACTATTGTTTGAACAGATTATTAATGTGCCTAATGTTAACTGTGTGCACATGATTAATATTTCATTATCACACATGGTTTGTTTTTCACCTGCTTTCTTTTGCTTGCAAGTCAATTTTCTGCATATAAAATATATTTTCCCAACAACAAAATTGTGGCTAGTGAAAAAGGCAAGTGGCTAGTAACCTTGGAAACTACAAGCCACAGTGACTGGTGATAAAAAAAAGTCAATATCAAGCCCTGGTAGTGATTAAGGTTTACAATTTTCAAAATGCTCTAGGAAAAAATATGATCAGAATATCATCTTGCACAATAATTATACTCGCACTATACAGTATATGTAAAAAAAAAAAAAATGTGGAAATAGATAGATACTATGTGTGTAAAGTTTAAACTGAAACAAAATAATTTCTGCAAGGGACTAAAAAAAGCTTTCATTTCAATATTTTCAATCTTGCAGAGATGGATTGGTCCTGACATGACATCAGTAGGTAGATGCCAAGTGTGGAGGATGGAAGCGTGGGGATAGTCAAAAAGGAGTTAGTGTTTGCTGAACGTGGTGTAGACCATGTAAATGCCATGCTTTTCTGAAATTATGTTTTGCAGCTTTGCAACCTTTCTGCCAATATAGACAAATGGTTTGCCTGGTCCAGTTTCAGAGTATATGGGCATACTCACTCTAGGTACATTTCTGAGGAATGCCATCCTGTTTTCCAGGTGCACACCATCCTGAATACATGTTTCACACCCATGGTAACCTGGTTGGCCATTTTAGAAAAGCATGTTGCAAAAGCAAACTTGAATGTTAACTTTAGTCATTCAAATTCAAAGCCATTTTTTTTAACTCTTTGATTTCAGAGATTAGGTCTTCGAGATACTTATTCAGGGAGCTAGTTTTACAGTACCTTCAGCCCACAATAAATCTATTGGCACATGTTCCCCCTGCACCAAGTTTTAAACTTCTACTAGACTGAGCCAGCATTGAGCAAATGAACTCTTGTAGAGAGGAAGACCATCAATGCTCACCTGGAACTTAAAATTTTTATCTTCCTTAAAATGTACATGTTGTCATAGAGGACCCTTGAAATGGATGCCATTGAACCAAAAGTATATCACTGACCCTGTGCGTTCAAAGAGAACTCATTTGCAAAAAGAAGGCTATTCTCTTTGAACGCACTTTACCTAATATTGTCCTTGTATCTTTTGGCAGACTCGGATTGTAATTGTGAATGATTATGAGTAATTCATTTAGTGATGCATGTGTTAATTTTTTTTTTTTTCTGTTTCCCATCTTGTCAAAGTCATCATTGAGGGGACTTGAACTAGTCAGATTGACTCGTTTATGAAGCACTTGCCAGGATGATACTGCATTCAGTCTCATTAACATGGGACAAACAGTCCAAGAAGTCAGTGCCGTCTTCAACAGTGCTGCTTGTCAATGCCACCATACTGTTCCCTCAATAGTGATGCTTATAACACATGCATTGAATAAAGCTGTTTGTCCACCTTGGCTTTGGCTTTTCTCCTGTTGTGTCCAGTAAGATTGTTTTTTTACAATCCGTAATGCACACACACACACAATGCATTGCCCTAACATGCTAAGCCTGCATTGGTTTTGAAATTCAGTACTTTAAGACCCTTAAGCAGGTCGCACACCAGAAGCGCCGCTCCGCAGCGCGCCACGCAGCGCCATGCATTTTAGAATTCTAAACATAGGTTTCGATCAGAATACACACACAGGTGCTGCAAGTCGGCGGCGCCACGGCACAGGACGAAGTTCATTTTTCAGCCTCGCTACAAAGCGGCATCTGATTAGTTTAATGTTAAATATCATTCGAATGTGCGCGTCTAGTGTGTGATGCTTTAAACTGTCATGTGCGCGCTGTGTCGCGGCGCTTCTGGTGTGCGACCTGCTTTACATCACACTGCTTACATGTACGCTTACATTTAATTGAACTTTATAAAACTGAAGCTTGGTAAACTAATTGGTGCATATTATATGGGAGACATCCAGAATGTGCAGTGTTATGAGTCTCCAAGATTTGAAATTTTAGAACCACTTTCCTGATGACCAGTAGTTCTGTCACAATAATTACACGTACCTTATTTTTGAGGGACAGAATGTGTAAGTGTTATGTAGTTGTCAGTTGACTGTAGAGAACTCTGTAATTAGGGAAAAGATAAAACAGGTAACGTCAGTTTTGTCATTGTCATGCCTAGAAGCAGTATAAAAAGCTTAATAAATGTATGATTACTCCTTTTTATAAAATGTTTGTTTAATTGAACTAGAACTAAACCCATAAGAATGCCTATATTCTGCTACTCCTTTGAATGTATTTTTTATCCTACCCAAAATTACAGGGACAGTTCGTCTAAGAATGACAATTCTATCACCATTTACTCACCATTCACTTGTTCCAAACCTGTTTGGCTGTCTTTTCTCTGTTGAACACAAAAGAAGATAGTTTGAAGAAAGCTGGAAACCTGTAACCACTGACTTCTATAGTATTTGTTTTTCTACTATGGAAGTCTATGGTTACAGGTTTTCAGGTTTTTTCAAAATGTCTTATATTTTATTCATCAAACGAAAGAAAATCATAAAAGTTTGAAACCCCTTGAGGGAGAGTAAATGTTGAGTGAATTTTCATTTTTGATTGAATTGTCCTTTAATCTCAGGAGAACAAATTTGGAAAAAAATTAAGGTGAAACTAAAAAACTAAGGGCTAAGGATTATTTTATTTATATATTTATTTGAGTTTTTTTTTTTCTTCGACTATGGTTTAAGTTGAGGGGTTTCAAAACAGTGGACTATGGAGAGTTATGTATTTAAAACCATGCTGATTTTTTTTATTTAAACTGTTGCTAATGCTACTGTAAATATGGATTATGAAATGAGGGTGGTTTTTATAAAGTTTAAAAAAGTAACAAGAAGAAACAAGAAGTGGGTTATATACTATTTAAAGATTTGTTTCTGTTTTCTGAACTTGACAAAAATTGTAAGGAGATTTATTTGTTTTTGGAAAAGAACTAGAGGATAATAGATTTAAATCTTTATTGATATTTTTAAGGTTTATATGATAGAATTTAGTGGGCTAAATGGTAGTTAATGATCCCGATTTTGAAAGAGGTCCTAATCAATAGGTGGCACTGTGGCAGTAATACGCTTATAAATAAATCTTTATGCAAAACGGCAATGTCTAGAAGAAGACAACGATACGATGACCACAACCAACACGAGGTTCACGGCTCTACAGGTAAAACAATTTACTTTGTGTTTCATGACATGGTGTTATTTTCCTATAGTTTATGTTTATGTGGTTTTAGTCACGGGATAGCATTAGAGCAGGGAATTCGGTATTGCGAGAAAAGTTCATAAAAATGGTCACTGTTAACACGGATTATAATCCGTTTTCATCTATATTTGGTGCTGACCACTGTTTTTCCACATAAAAAACTTTTAATACCATTTTGAATCCGGCACATACTTTATTAGGCATAACTAACATTTATGGTTGCGTTTGGAGGTTGTGCATACTCTGGACAGTAGTCCTTCAGGATCGAGTGAGTCTGATGATTATAGTATGTTAATAAAGCCTGTTTAACCAGTTTCGTGCTTATTAAACCTATCAGTTCGATTTCATACAGGTCACTGAAGCATAGACCATAGGTCACGTGTTACTATTCTCAATGCTGTTGGACCAAACTAATCTACGACATAACTTTTCCCGCCCTACGCGTGCCTGACCACGTCAGTCAACCCTTTCGGTTATTAACCCTGCTTTACTATAGATAAATAAGTACACAAATATTTAATAAAAGTGTGTTAATATAGTTGTGCCATGGTTATCATAGATTTACCTATTTTTGCTAACAGAAACATATTTTAAGTATTTTAGGTAACGTGTATTTTTATTCAGTGCGCCAAAAATCATGGTTTTACGGTAAAAAAAGTCCTTAACTGGATAGCACATACTTAACAAATAAATTAATAAATAATCTTACGATGTTGCAAGGCTGACGTTATTTAATGGAATAACGGTACTTACCAACAACGGACAAATTAACCTTAAGCTTAAAACCGAATAAACAAAAAAAAAGTTAATATGTAAACAAACAGATAACTACGAATGAACAGGATTGTTATATGTACAAATTTTGTATTTACAGATAATTCTTGAGCTAAATATCAACCTATTATAAAAAAAACAAACGTTGAGGGTGCAATGTCATCTGTTGACAAACAGCCGTTGATCATGTGACGTAATGGCCTCACGACGTGTCACTCAGACAGGGTTAATGGAAATGTCATTGTCTATAATTGTAAGAAATTAATTAATTAGTTAATTTTATATATATTTATTATTTTTATTTAACAATATTCATTATTTTATTTTTTACTATTAATAATTACTTTCTATCACACTGGCATAAGGTTTGTTCTGTTGTCATATGTTGTAAATTTATTTACTAATTGTTGTATTTTAGGGGCACAAATCTCTGGAAAAATATTACTTGTTAATTGTATTGTAATTTTTTCAGGTGTTTTTGAAAGAGTTTTTTCACAAGTATAATATGTTTCCCCCATTCCCCCAATGTTGTGAAAATGCATGAAATGTACTAAATTCCTACATTAAATTAATGGACAGATTTTTTATTGAGAGGTCATGTACTAGATACTTTATTTATTTTTCTATTTATTTTTCTACAATAAAAATAATTTACAATAAAATTATTTACAATAGAAATCTCACCTGTCTTATGCAGAATTCTCTTCTGATGTTTATCTGTGGTCCCTTGATCCAGACACTCCTCAGCAACCAGTCTTTGTATGGAATCCACCGTGCTCTATAAAGATCTATTTGTCTCTTCTTCCACTTCCATCAGGTACTTTTTTTTTTTTTTTGGCCAACAATGTTAATCTTATTTTTCAATATGTGATTTAGTATAACATTATAACTCATTGCATAATGCCATATTCAATGTTCATTATAAGACTTAAACTGTGTGACAGTTTATGAACATTACTTGAACTAGAGCTGCAAAGTTATATAAAAAGATATTTATTTATTTATGGTTTTGTTTTGTTTGTTTTATATGTAACATTTGGAATTCGTTAAAGTAAATATAAGCTAAGTTAGGATGAAAGATAACTGTAAAAAAACAAAAAAACTTTGGTGCCTTTTTTGTTGAATCAAATGTAAAAACCCTGAACCAAAAATTTATATGGCTCCATTTTCTTGGTTAATATACTCATAGTTGATATCAGATATGACTAAAGTGCATGCATCCTTAAGCACAAGTACTCATGTTTAAAATGACAGGTAAAATTTGAAGTACTGATTATACTTTTGTACTCAAGTGAAAGAAAAGAGATGGCCTCAAACATGTACACAAGTAAAAAGTATCCAATAACCTATCTTTGCTTTACGCTGGTAAATAGGTTGCACATCATATATACATTTATACAAAATAACTTTCATTAAATAAAAAAAAAATTATCTTAAAATGCCCATTCTCAGCAGAAAAGTAGCCAAGCAACAAAGCTCTGCAATATTTGCCAACAGCACTTCTTAAAATGTTGCTCCATCATCTTGGCACAAAAACGCACCAAACAGCTGTTCTTACACACTAATAATTCTGTCTTAAATGTAACGCTTAAATTTGTCAGAAACATTTTTTTTCTGAAATAAATGATTAACATCTTTTTTTTCTTCTTTGCTTTAACCCTCCTTTTGACTTAAGGGTAAAAAATGACACTGACACCATTTTAACAGCAAAAAAACTAAAATACCCTAAACAATATTTTTTCCGTAATCTATTTTTAAAATTACCTTAACATTAAAAAAAGATTATTCATTTTCTGTTTTCATTAAGGTTATACACATTTATGTAGAACGGTTGTTCTTCGGGGTAATTTTGACCCATCAGCTATAAAACAATTTTCACACCACAAAACCTACTGACACACGAACACTCCCAACACACACAATAAGAGTCTGCAGTAACACTTTATAACTGCACACTATGAACCATTATATGTACTATTTATGCTTTGTAAGTCCCTTATAAACAACAATTAAAAGCTCAGTTATATTCTTAGGAAAAAATAAACTACTTATTCATTTCTATTAATTTGAAGATGCACAAATGAAGCTGTATCAAATGAAATTGCAATCTTAACTAAAATAAAATCATGGTACTGTTGAAACATCGCTAAATAACATTCACATGTTCTATCATAATATATTGTTAAATCATTATATTGTTGTTGTTTTGCCCATTTTTATGTTATATTTGGACACCCCTGATAATTAGTAAAGTTTAAACTTTAGTCATTTTATTTTTTAAATAAAATTGAAATGATTTATTGTTTATTTGATACAATGCCTTTAATTGTTATTTATAAGAGCACACATACATACATACATACATACACACACACACACGTTTATTAATTGTTTAATTATGCAGCTATACCAACTATTTTATATAACTGGTTTGTAAATAATGCAATACTTAATTTAGTTATAAAAAATTAATCATTAGCATGAAAACAAAATCATTAAGCAGATTATACATGTGCTTATAAGTAAAAAAAAAACAGCATTGTAGCTGTATTTATTAACTGATACTAACATCTAATGTAGAGTTGATGTTTATACAACAAATAATAAATTAACTATTTGCTAATGTTTAATAAATGATTCACTGAATCGTGTAGTTATTTTAAAGTGTTACCAAATCTCCTGTTTTAACTTTTATGAATACTGTCTTGCTAAAAACTGTCACACTTGCATAGGTACCTTTAGCATTAAAAATTCACTCTTTACTGTAATCAAAAAGGTGTTGCCCACCGAGTAAACACTGATGAAATACTACGCACTGATGAGGGAAAACCTAAACATTTACAGTTTATGATGAAGATATTGTTGTTTCTTCATGGTAAATGACTTGAATTTGAAGACTTGAATTTAATTTAACTGCATTATTTAAGAAGTTTAGTAAAGCAAACCCATTTTTGACCCGAAGGGCAAACAGTGAAGACTGAATTCTAGGCAACACAAGACAAAGAGCAGCAGATTTCAGCAGTTCTCGTGTTTGTTTTCTTAGATTTTTGTGGAAATTTTATTTTAAGGGGCTATGGCATTAATGTTTTTAATACATCTATTCAATACAAAAGGCAAACGGTAGCAAAACGGATAAACTACTTTTAAAATTCATTATATACATATAGGCAGTGCTGAAACTTGCAGAAATTTCCTCTGATTGGTCAACCAAATCTGAGCTCCTGATATCCCCTCAAAACGATAGTCCTCTGAGTACCAGCACCCATACTTTTAATGATATATATATTAACAGTATTATCAGACATTTGTCATTAAAATAAGATCATAGTTTGCTGACAAAAAAATAAAAATAATATATGCCTATAGTTC